TAGTGAATTTTCAGTTTAATTCAATAAATCATAATCCTAATCTTCTGTAATTTCCCGGGAGACACTCTGTGTTCTATTTGCCACACATTGCATTCAAATACAACTGTGCGTTCGTGTTCGTGAATATAACTCTTGGATGAGCATGTACCCAATCCCCAACCATGGCTCCCCCATCTCCATTCAGCCGATGAATGAAAGCACCATTTTGGTCAAGAAACAGGAAGCCATTCTTTCTAGCAACACGTCTGGACACAACATTCACATACCGATTCGGAAAATTATGTCGCCCAATTGTAGGATTCGTTGCAACATACACCTTCGTCCGCGCCAATGGCGCCAACTCCTTCATAACACGATCCAACCAGACTTCATAGTCCTCCAATTTATACTCCCCGCCACCCGAAATCGCCTGCAAATCATGCAAACCAGACGTATACACCAAAACATCCTGTTTCTTCGAAGGTTTAGACTGCCATTTCCCCTTCACAGCCCATTCTTTTTCGGAATACGCCATGGACTCGTTGAAGTGGTGACAAAATTCGGGATACGAAATCTTGAACTTTGTCCAGTCAAGAAAGACTTGGTTGTCCTTGTATGCAATGACTCCTTGTCCGTTTGCACAGGGATGCGATGTCGATCCCCAGATGTGTGTGATGTAGGTACTTGGGCTGTTTGGCGAGGAACTAGGGCTTTCGTATGCGAATTCGCGGATTTTGGCGCATGGTTCGTTAAGCGTGCATGAAGATTCTGGCCATTCTTTTGTCGTGAGTTGGGCGGTAACGTGGGCGAGCAGGTCGCGGACACTTTCTGCGGAAGTGGAGTCGCCGAGGACGGTGATATTTTGGGTTTGGAGGCAGGTTGCGGCTTCGTTGGAAGAATAGTAGCGGAGCTTGCAATTGGGTGGGAGGTAAATGAGTTGGGCGCCAGCGCCGCTGCCTTCTTGAAATGTTGGGAAGAGGGTTGCGATAAGGAATCGCCCGCCTTGTTGAAAATCGTCCATCGAGGAGGGTGTGCAGAAGGGGAGGGTTTTGAGATGGGATTCGAGTCGCACACGAGGTGAGGAATTGATAGACTCTTCTTTAAGTTCCATATCAAATTGATATAATTTATCGAGATTTGGCATATCAAAGTAATCCTTCGACTTGAAATCAGGCAACCGCCATGGAAGGTCATTGTGTTTGAAGGTCCCTTCCGCAAAAAGCGTCACTTTGAATGTTCCAGACATAAACATTTTGAATGAAAACTGTATATTAAATAAGCGACTGATCAAAGAAGTTGGTATTGAAGTAAGATACCAAATACCTCAACGTCATCATTTGGATATACAGCTGCAGGAAACAATATCTGTCTCTCTCTTTCGTTTTCTAATAGGAGCTGGTACGCAGTCCGTGATGGGGTTGCGCTGTTTCCATTTGGAACAATGTAAAGTCTGACAATGGCCCCTGCAACCAACATGTTCTTGGGAGACAGGTATACTGTTTCACGTTCAAGTACAGAGAGTAGATCGAAAGCAGAGGCATTGAATTTCTCGCTAAGGAGTGGAACAGAGGAGTTAGGCTGGGACATTACTGGAGCCACTAGATGTTTTCTTGACGACGTAGAAACCAGAACAGCCATTGAAATCGAAAGGTATACAGCGATGCAAATGGCAAGGATAGCGGTTACTCTGTGGTATTGTGTACAATGGATCATTGTCTGAACAAATGTTGTTGGACAACCCGTTCAGCGCCATAATCAACAATCAATAAAATGTGACAAAGAAAGGATAACCGCATTAATACGTTTCTTAATATTCAATATATTTAAGTAGCTTGAAGGGATAAGAAGGCTTTGCAATTTAATATATAGCTACGCTGGCAAAACCAGTGGATGTTTCTAACACTGAGTGAGTGTGTATATGTTATGGGTGCCAGAAACATGTTCTTGTAGCGCCGGTTTCGGGCGATTGTATGTCAAGACATCGCAATTCTTGGGATCACACACCATTCTCTGTCGATATTGTTGCTCAACATGGGCATTTCGGTTCTTCGTTTGTCTCAACGAGGAATTTTAATTTTTTGCATGGCGTTGTTGCCAGCATCAAGTATATATCATGTTTATGAAGAAATAAATCTAATCGCAATGCAATTAAGCCAAAAGAACGAACGTGCCAAACGTAACAATGAGGCTGGAAGCAACCTTTCCGGCGGCGGAATAAAGGTTGGCTGGCTTGTTGGCTGTCTGTGGAACTCCATAAGTTGGTGGTGGAACGTAAGCCGCTGCGGTGTATTGAGCTGGGGTGATGGGTACAACAGCAGTAGCAACAACAGAGTTTGACGCGGAGACAGACGACAAAACTGCAGTAGTAGTGGCGCGAACTGTGGAAGCAGTCGAAACAGTGCTGACAACCGTATTAGCAACGGTGGTGGTCTCAACGTTGACGGGGTTGAATCTGGCAGAACCAGTGAACAAGTCGACCCAAACACTTGCGACAGATCTCTTTCGGGATTTGATTAAGTAAAGTGGGGTGACATCAAATGAAGCAAGAGCCTGGTGATCAGTAAAGATGTCGACATGAATACCAAAGACAGTGTTGTCCCCTGCGGCGCTAATTGCGTACCACAAGCTTGGAACAGTCTTTGCAACACCAAATGAGACGGTGAAACCAGTAGTACCGGCACTGGAGTTCGCGTAGTAGATTGTAGAAACATCAATAGCCTTGTTATCGTATACAGTAAAGTTGGTTGGGAAACCAGGAATCACGTTCTTTGCAGAAAGTCCGATACTCAAAAGCGCTTGGTTGTTGAAATCCCCTGGAATCAAAGCGGAACCATTGAAGGTGAATGGAGTAGCTCCAAAACTGAGACGAACTTCTTCTCTGGACAACAAAGTTGACTTGTAGTCGGTCTTGTTGCTTCCTGGACCAACTGCCAATAGATCAACAAATGAGTTCACTTTGCCATCGAATGGATAAGTTTTGGAGGAGGGTGCTCCACTGGCAATTGTTGCAATGCTGGTTGGGACGTCAGTGGTCGTGGTGACTCCAGTGACTTGAGCAAGGTAAGTGGGGGTTGTCGTAGTAGAAGCAGCAGTCTCGCTGGCCGTGGTGCTCAAAGTAGTTTGCTGGATTGTACTAGTTGCAATGGTAGTTTCCACAGTGGTAGATATGATTGTTGTTTGAACAGTAGTTACAGTAGGGGATGCCGCATCAGCCGTGGCAAAACGAAGAGTGAAAGGAAAGTAAACAATGTCTCTCTTGCGAACATCAGAGAAATTGATGGCTAAATCGAAACTAGCAAAAGCTGAATCGGATTCAGTTTGGAGTAAGACAAAGTGGAGATTTCCTGTTCCATTTGGTACGTCGTAGGTGGCAGAAATGTCAAACCAGATATCATTAAGGTAGTGGGCCTCAAAAAATACACCAACTGGGGAAGCACCGTTGTTATCGTTGTATGCCAAGACACTTGTTGCATCAATCGAGGAGTTGTCGTAGACCTTAAAGTCATAGATACCATCATATGCCTGAATGTCATATCAGTAACAGAAAGGATGTCAAATGTAATCCTCACATAAATTGTTTCATCATATTCGATTAAGAGGGCGATACCGATGGACTCTGCACCAGAAAGTTCAGGTCCTTGAACACCTGTGGAAAGACCATCTCCAATGGTGATTGAACTATTCACCAGGCTGGAAGAGACTTGGTCTCCATCCAAATGGAAAGCGCCTGCAATATCATCAATGACTCTGGCAACGAATGGGCTCTTCGCGAACACGGCGCGGGGAGTAGAAGAAGGGGCCGCTGTTTGGTAATGATAAGAACCAGTTCCTGCAAGAGTCTCTTGACTCACCTGGTGGATTTGTTGGGAAGGAGACCCGCACCGAAGTTGCAGTTGGGATCTCGGCGGCAACTCCCGATGAAAGGAATGCAACAGCAGCAGCAGCAAAAGTGAAGACGGCTCTCATTTGTGGTGAAGAAATTTTTCTTTGGCACTGGGAGCGTGTTATTTCAAATTTTCTGTGTTGGGCTTGGGAAGCCTGCGTCAGCACATTCACCTCATGCAAAGCCATAAGCGGATGAAACTAATGATGCTCTTCTTTCTTAGTTCTTGCGCTTCATTGCTTTATCAAAGTAAAGCATTTGATGTTGTTATGCCGGACGTGGGTGGGCTTGTGCAGAAGGCGTCATCAAATGTGTCTTGGAGCATGCTGTTGTGCAACCAACTCCACAACATCACAACACACACTTCCATTTGTTTTTTAGTCGTTCTGTTTTAATAAAAACGTTCGTGTAATGATATCTCAGTCTGGAAACGAAATTCAGATATTTATTCGAAGAATCAACTCAAATAATTACAAATAATTGGATTCAGACGAGAAGATCAAGATAAGGTTTTTCGTTTTTAAAATTCGGATTTATTACACATTTTCATTTTGGAACGCCGTGGTCTCTTGGTGTAGTGGCTATCACGTCTCCTTTACACGAGGTCGCGAGATCAATCCTCGCAGAGTCCATGTTTTTGGTAAGTCAATTGTGGGAGGTTGGGATTTGTCATTAAGTTGGAGGAAGAAGCGCCATGAATCTACTATGCTCCCCAGCACACTCATCAATCCGTTCATCCTTCATCCTTCATCAGAATGCAATACTTGTTACCCTAACATTACTTTTATTGTTGAATGAACATAATGGCATGAACACGAAGAAACCTTAAACAACATAAACTGTGTCATAAGAAGGGAAGGAAGTTAGGGCTGCATCAAGAGAAACTGTACTAGCTCTGGGATTTTGGATTTGTTGATCAGTTGGAGAATCGGCAGGGGCTTTCTCAACCTGCAGCGCTGATTGTTGCAGTGGTTGTTGATGCTGAATATTCCAATGCGATACTCGGTACAAGAATGACGCCCTGTTACCGAATAAGGGCAAAGAAGACATACCATTGTGGAAAGACATGATGGAAGTATTTTCGAGAAAGATCTAAAGAGCGAAAAAGAAAGGAGGCGTTGTGGAGCTAAAGAACAAAAGCCCAACGTGGGGGTCGAACCCACAACCTTGAGATTAAGAGTCTCACGCTCTGCCGATTGAGCTAGCTAGGCTTGTGACAATTGCTAACACGTACAATATATGAAATAATTATGATGAATTCTCTAACCTCGTTTTTGTTTTTGTGTTGGAATTAACATATTTTATGCTGAAATAATATTAACATGTTTTATTTTGATGTTGAAGCCAAGAATTTTGCAGATCAAAGACGGAATCCACCATCAACAGCCATAATCTGGCCGGTAGTAAAAGAACTTGCAACCAGAAAAGCAATAGCTTCACCACTGTCGTCCGACTGAGCATCTGCATTTCCAGTTGAGATTGCATTCACTCTGATTGGTCTGAGTTCAACAGCAAGCGAGCGAACCAAGGAATCCAAAGCGGCGGCAACAACGGCTGCAGCAAGATTACCCTTTTGAGGGTCACGCGAAGCCGAGGAAGAAACGAGTGTGATTGAGGGAGCCGAGTCCGAAGTAGTTTTCCTGACGTGTTTCGCGGCTGTCTGAACAACGGCAAAGGCAAGACCCACGTGCGCGGCAAACTGAGCGTCCAAGTCGTCGGCGGAAAGCGAGGCCACGGACGCCGGCGCAACCGACGGACTCAGGGCAACGACAACGTGGTCGACGCGGTTCAAGTCCGCGAACAACTGCGCCACCGCGTCAGACGATGTCACGGGAACAGCGCGGGCCGACACTGTTGGCGTTGGCGTCGGCGACCCAGGGTTCGAAGCCGGTGGCGGTGGCGGTGGCGGTGTGGGGGAAACGCCGAAAACTGCAACGGCCGCATCGTCAACGTTTTGTCCGCCCGTGAGAACAACGTGCGCTCCTCGGCCGCGGAGCTGCTGCGCGGCACTGAGCCCCACAGATGTCGTTGCTCCAATTACAACACAGGTCTGGCCATACAAGGTGGTCATATTCTGCTGGAAAGTTGTGGCGTTTTTTGGATCAAAGCAAAAAAAGACAAAACTGGGAAACACGTGTTCGGACAGAAACAGCAGCAGCTATTATTATAATTATATCGTCGGTTACAATCTGGGATCCTTCAAAACACGTCCGTTGAATACTTTACGTAACTTGCGAAACAAGTGAATTTGAAGCTCATATACAAGCCCTCCAGCGACAGTAAACTCATCATGCACATCAGTCTTCATTGTTTCCACACCATTCCGTTGCAGAAATTGGTATACCCGCTCCAGCACAATCGTCGTCTCCTCGTCTCCCAAGTCGTTATAATCAGGCAAAACCTCTGAAACAATGTCAACCAATTTTCTGCCCTTCCTCCGTCCTCTCTTTTCAACTTTAACTGTCTGACATGTCGCAGTGTGTTCCGTCATCCAACTGGCTTCCTTTCCGCGTATCTTGCACTTTCCACACACCAAAAACCCATCCACACCACGGCTCAATTGCTTGACCTCTAGAAATTCATTCGAGCCATATCTTACTGTCACAGGAGACTCGTGCCAGTTTCTGTTATGATCGTCCAACAGTTTTCTTGAGGAGAAGGTTGTTTGCTTTGCTGTGTGTGATATGATTTTGCAATCGAAAGTTCTTGTATGAGTGATCGGGGTTGGGATCGGAGTTATTGGAGACTTTTGTTGCGTATTGTGTCGTAGAGCTGTTGATGAAGACGGCGCGGGAGAGTAAGGTGGAGGCGGAGATGATAGACGATAGCGACCATGGCGACGAGGCGGACTTGATGTATTCGTAGGAATGTAGCTCACTAGGTTTCCAGCATTTCTGTTAGGATTCGTGTGTGCTCCGCGAAACACGTTTGGAGTAATGCTTGGATTGTTCAATCTATCATAGCCAGACGATGCCGAATGCCCATTCATTGTAAGAAGGCGTTCCCGATTAGAGTGTGGCAAACTCCAGTTCGGTGAAAAGCGCTCTTTCAGTCATTCTCTTAAGGAAACAATGAACAATGGCTTGAATTTGTCTCGCATTGAAATATTTGACACAGAGCAACTCTTTACTTATCACGGTTCTCCACATTAGTCTATTGTTATTTCTCGGGATTGTACCGAAATGTTCACTCAGACACAACAGCGCAATATTGTCATACTGGCCATCGGTATCATCATATACTCATCGATTGCATTTGGAATCCTATCTACAGGCAGCTTCCTGCAGCGCTGATTGTTGCAGTGGTTGTTGATGCTGAATATTCCAATGCGATACTCGGTACAAGAATGACGCCCTGTTACCGAATAAGGGCAAAGAAGACATACCATTGTGGAAAGACATGACGGAAGTATTTTCGAGAAAGATCTAAAGAGCGAAAAAGAAAGGAGGCGTTGTGGTGCTAAAGAACAAAAGCCCAACGTGGGGGTCGAACCCACAACCTTGAGATTAAGAGTCTCACGCTCTGCCGATTGAGCTAGCTAGGCTTGTGACTATTGCTAACACGTACAATATATGAAATAATTATGATGAATTCTCTAACCTCGTTTTTGTTTTTGTGTTGGAATTAACATATTTTATGCTGAAATAATATTAATATGTTTTTATTTTGATGTCGAAGCCAAGAAGTTTGCGATCAGTGACGGAATCCGCCGTCAACAGCCAGAATCTGGCCGGTAGTAAAAGAACTTGCAACCAGAAAAGCAATAGCTTCACCACTGTCGTCCGACTGAGCATCTGCATTTCCAGTTGAGATTGCATTCACTCTGATTGGGCTGAGTTCAACAGCAAGCGAGCGAACCAAGGAATCCAAAGCGGCGGCAACAACGGCCGCAGCAAGATTACCCTTTTGAGGGTCACGCGAAGCCGAGGAAGAAACGAGTGTGATTGATGGAGAAGAGTCTGAAGTAGTTTTCCTGACGTGTTTCGCGGCTGTCTGAACAACGGCAAAGGCAAGGCCCACGTGCGCGGCAAACTGAGCGTCCAAGTCGTCGGCGGAAAGCGAGGCCACGGACGCCGGCGCAACCGACGGACTCAGGGCAACGACAACGTGGTCGACGCGGTTCAAGTCCGCGAACAACTGCGCCACCGCGTCAGACGATGTCACGGGAACAGCGCGGGCCGACACTGTTGGCGTTGGCGTCGGCGACCCAGGGTTCGAAGCCGGTGGCGGTGGCGGTGGCGGTGTGGGGGAAACGCCGAAAACTGCAACGGCCGCATCGTCAACGTTTTGTCCGCCCGTGAGAACAACGTGCGCTCCTCGGCCGCGGAGCTGCTGCGCGGCACTGAGCCCCACAGATGTCGTTGCTCCAATTACAACACAGGTCTGGCCATACAAGGTCGTCATATTCTGCTGGAAAGTTGTGGCGTTTTTTTGATCAAAGCAAAAAAAGACAAAACTGGGAAACACGTGTTCGGACAGAAACAGCAGCAGCTATTATTATAATTATATCGTCGGTTACAATCTGGGATCCTGCAAAACACGTCCGTTGAATACTTTACGTAACTTGCGAAACAAGTGAATTTGAAGCTCAGATACAAGCCCTCCAGCGACAGTAAACTCATTATGCACATCAGTCTTCATTGTTTCCACACCATTCCGTTGCAGAAATTGGTATACCCGCTCCAGCACAATCGTCGTCTCCTCATCTCCCAACCCGTTATAATCAGGCAAAACCTCTGAAACAATGTCAACCAATTTTCTGCCCTTCCTCCGTCCTCTCTTTTCAACTTTAACTGTCTGACATGTCGCAGTGTGTTCCGTCATCCAACTGGCTTCCTTTCCGCGCATCTTGCACTTTCCACACACCAAAAACCCATCCACACCACGGCTCAATTGCTTGACCTCTAGAAATTCATTCGAGCCATATCTTACTGTCACAGGAGACTCGTGCCAGTTTCTGTTATGATCGTCCAACAGTTTTCGTGAAGAGAAGGTTGTCTGCTTTGCTGTGCATGATATGATTTTGCAATCGAAAGATCTTCTATGAGTGATCGGGGTTGGGATCGGAGTTATTTGAGACTTTCGTTGCGTATTGTGTCGCAGAGCTGTTGATGAAGACGGCACGGGAAAGTAAGGTGGAGGCGGAGATGAAAGACGATAGCGACCACGGCGACGAGGCGGATTTGATGTATTCGTAGGAATGTAGCTCACTAGGTTTCCAGCATTTCTGTTAGGATTCGTGTGTGCTCCGTGAAACACGTTTGGAGTAATGCTTGGATTGTTCAATCCATCATAGCCAGACGATGCTGAATGCCCATTCATTGTAAGAAGGCGTTCCCGATTGTGATACAAATATGCTTCAAAGAGTGTGGCAAACTCCAGTTCGGTGAAAAGCGCTCTTTCAGTCATTCTCTTAAGGAAACAATGAACAATGGCTTGAATTTGTCTCGCATTGAAATATTTGACACAGAACAGCTCTTCACTTATCACGGTTCTCCACATTGTTATTTCTCGGGAGATTGTACCGAAATGTTCACTCAGACACAACAGCGCAATATTGTCATACTGGCCATCGGTATCATCATATACTCATCGATTGCATTTGGAATCCTATCTACAGGCAGCTTCGCTCGCAAACAAGCCTCTGTCACTGTGGCTGACAGCATCGCTACTTTCCAAACCTTGAACGCAACTAACGGATCGTACCCTCTCTCCATATCCGGCAATATCAGTGGTCCTAATGCAACACATGGCACACCTATTACCTAAATGTTCACCAACCACCATGGACAATTTTCAACAAGGAGGTCGATATCTTGTTGGTACTCTATTTCCAACACTCGAAGATGGTGGTGGCGTTGGTGCGCACCTTACCTACCTTCCGCCCAATTGCAAGCTCCACTACTTTTCTTCAGCCGAAGCAAACACCTGTCTCCAAACAAAGAACGTTACGCTTATCGGAGACTCAACGACTCGCGAAACAACCCAAGAAATGATTTTACACCTTACTGCTCAACTATTTGATCGACAACTACCAGAAAACGTATACGACTGTCTCCCTGGCTGGGAGCACTGCTACAAATCCCGCGAATTCGGGTACTCTGTCCCAACTCCCTCTGGCAAACCCAAAAGCTGGATCAACCATATCTGGGGCGCAACCAAATACCCATGCGACAACGGAAACGGCGCCATCGATTTGAAGAACGATCAC